TGTCCTGGCCGCCGGCTGGGAGGACGCCGCACGCGCTCAGGACCAGCATCGCCTGCGGTAGTTGCAAAGGGCATGGCGGGAACAGCGCTGTGAATACTGCTTAGAATTGTGCGAAACATGTTAATTGAATTACACACAATTTTATCTACACAGAGAAAGAGACAGATAGATAGATTGATATGTAGATAGAGAGAAAGAGAGAGAGATAGAGATAGATAGATAGATAGAGATAGATAGATAGATAGATAGATAGAGAGAGAGAGAGAGAGAGAGAGAGAGAGAGAGAGAGAGAGAGAGAGAGAGAGAGAGAGAGAGAGAGGGAGAGAAGAGAGAAAGAGAGAGAAAATTAATAACGAACTAAACTATAAAAAGAGTAAAGATACATAATGGTAGAGAAAGAAAAATAATACATAAAATCTAATTGGCATCAAAATTATCATACGTCAATGAGAAAAATTAGGAATAAAATCAAAAGTTAATAAATCACGATGCCTGATGACGTGAAATTAATCACTTAATGAAATGACAGGGCAAAGGACCAATGAAAGAAGAAAAATGATAACAGCTGATTATGTAAGATTATTAATGAAAGCAGCTGATTAGGAAGATCTATCTGACAGACATAAAGGAGATTTGTGACAGAAGCAAAATAATAAATAGCTGAAATTAGTACTAAATGGTATATTAAAGGGACGATACAGAAAAAAAGGTAATTTGAAACTGAAATTTGATTTGATAACTGAAACCACATCAAAAAATTAATATCAGGGGGCAAGATCCCCTATATCACCCCCCCCCCCCCCCTCGATGATGCTAAACGAACTTCAGCAAAACAGTGATAGGGAATAGAAAACTAATTAAATAGAAAGACAATAGTTGCAAACACAAGATGATATTGAAGAAAAGCCCTAGGAAAAAAACAATGAATAGCATAACTTACCCTTCTTCCCAAAAAATGGTGATGATAAATGAATGATAATAATGATAATGAGATAAGATAAATAATCATAACATGAAGTCAATCAGCACCAGATAGTTAAGAAAATGAGGTGAATAAAATAAAAATAGGTGATAAAATAATCAATAACGGACAAGTAACCTCTCGCTAAAAAAGAGAAAAGGGAAAAGGAAAAGAAAAGAAAAGAAAAAAAAAAATAGCCCAGCAGGACCTGACACTTACCAGAGCCAGCGCTCCCTTGGCCTTCTGACACCCAGCAGACATGGCGTCGTCCAGGCCAAGTTTCTGATTCCTTTTTTCTTTATTTCTTTTTCTTTTTCCTCTCTTATTTTTATTGTGTCCTTATTCTGATTAATTTCATCGGGTCTATTGTAGTTTATTTCTGCTAGACTATTTTTTTCGGTTTATCTTCAAATATTGAAGGCGTTTTCTATAAATATTAAACATATAATACAGAAATATGCATGAATAGTGTGAAACCGTTTTTTCGCATATGTTAGTAATATGAGAGTATATATCCCCAGTAAATATATCAAATTATTTCATTCACAACAACTCATCTGTTTCTTACACGACGAACAAACATATCAGTTTTCTTTCCGTCTCTCTAGTAGTATTCATTATAATATCACTGTTCACAACCTTTCAGTTACTACGACTTATGATGTTGGATTCAGCAGTAGATCTACTTATATGGTCATTTCAGCTTTATTCTATTCTTTAGTGGACGTGGATAAACACACACGAGTTATCTGACGTCACAAGCCTTCAACATCTTCAGTAACACCTTAAGGTCTGATAAGATTATAAGATTGATAAGGCATATCGTAACGCTTTTTAGCCTACCGACATTCCGTGCCCTTTTCAGTAGTATTCCCTTGTTTTGTTTTGTTTTAGCTTATTTACTCTCTCAATCTCTCTTTCTCTCTCTCTCTCTCTCTCTCTCTCTCTCTCTCTCTCTCTCTCTCTCTCTCTCTCTCTCTCTCTCTCTCTCTCCTCTCTTCTCTCTCTCTCTCTCTCTCTCTCTCTCTCTCTCTCTCTTTCTCTCTCTCTCTCAGAGAATTTAGAATTATCGTTTATTCATGTCACCCAAAAATTGGGTATTCATGTTGACTTCATTTAAAAGAAATCCGACATAGTGATATTGTTGATCAAGTGAAAAAAGGGTTTTGCACAGTATTTGGAGCATTTATCTACATTCCACGTTGAAGACTCAAGATCATTGATTCTGAAAATGATATAATCTTGAAACAGAATTATACGTTGAATTATCAATCTCAATACAGTCACACTATTTTCTTCCCAAAAATCACAAAAAGTCCCAGAAGACAACACCTTTATCAGCTGATCAAGTGAGCTAACGAAATTGCGTAATTATTTCAAACTTGATTGAGGGTATATCAAATGAATCAGAAAGCAATTTCAAACGTTTCTCTTGTTAAGAAGATACTTCAAGTAAAATCACAGTTACATTAGAATGAAAAGGACTTTTGTTCTCATTAGTGTTATTATCATTATTATTTTTGGTTATTATTACAGGTACTACTTTTATCCTCCTCATTATTATTATCGTTATTAGTATTTGTATTATCGTTATCATTATTATCATCATTATCATCAATATTATTATTATTATTATCATTATTATTACTATTATTATTATTATTATTATTAATGTTATTATTATTATTATTATTATTATTATTATTATTATTATTATTATCATTATTATTATCATTTCATTTTCATCATCATCGTCATCATTATCATATTGTTGCAGATGCTGTTATTATCATCATCATTATTATTATTTATCTTCTCATTGATATTATTATTATTATCATTATTACCATTATTATTATTATTATCATTATTATCATCATATCGTTTATCATTATTATTATTTATCATTATCATTTATATTATTATCATTATTGTTATTGATTACTATTACCACTGTTGCACTATCATTATCATCATAATTGCATCATTATTATTATTGCTATATTGTTATTATTATCATCAATTCCATCATTATTGTTGATACTGTAGTTATTATTAGTGTTATTATTATTTTCATTAGCTTTATCATCATAATCATTATCATTATTGTCATATTGTTATTGTTGTTTTTATCATTCTTATTTCTATAATCAATATTATTATATTTAGATTATCATTTTCATAATTATGATTACTATGATCATCTTCATTATCATTATCAGCATTATCAATATCATCCACAATATCATCATTGTTGTCATTATTATCAATATTCATACTATTATTATCATCATTAGTAGTAGTACTAGTTGTATTATTATTACCTTAATTATTGTCAATATAATGATAATCATTATCATTGCTACCATCATCATATATTTTGTTATCCACAAAAGTGTTTGTTTTACTCATATTTTATCTGAAAATGTATAATTTTACTACAGAATGCGTTTGAGAAATACGCAGACCATTACATCTATTATGGAGAGTATACAATATATCGTAAATCAAAACCATAAATTCACAAGCAGATATCCCCTATCATTAAAACACCTATATAACCTTTATGGAAAAAGCGGAATGACGTCATAAACGTAGGCCTACACTCAAAGACATTGTAAAATAGGCCATGAGTTATGTTTCATCCCGTATTTCTGCACGTTCGGGCCAATGAAAGGCACGGATTTGAATTTAAGTAACAATATAAACCCTGAATAAATACCAGTGAGTCAGAGGCCAGTCAAGTACACAAAAGAAATGTCTGGACATCCTTCCCCTTCCACACACAGAACAAGACTGGCTTGGGGGTCTGAGTGAATCACAAGATAAGATTCCTCGTCCCTCCTCGCGGATGCCAAGACGTAAGGACTTACTTCTTGAGTAATAAGAAATTTCTCTCGGAGGAAAATAGTTTGAAGTGTATATTCGGAAGCATTTTGTATATTTCACGCTACTCCACTGATTGATTGGTATAGAGGAGCCAGTGTGATTTATTGTTGAAATAGATAGTGCTGTACAGTGTGGTTGGCTGTACAAGGACGACCACTCGTCGGCCGTCTCCCGCTCCCTCGCTTCACCTCCACTATGGGTAACTCGTCTAATCGGAAAAAATACATTTATTCTTATAACAATAACAAGACACGTTTTGTTTTAAGCTATGTTCAATTCATTACAAAAATAACTTACTCTGTCATCACTTTGTCATCAGCTGACTAATTCCATGTTCCACTTAGGATTTATCTCCCGCCAAGACGCCATTTTCCTTTCGAGTGTTAAAGGCTTTTTTGTTATCCTCTCCACTTTCTGTCTGGCTCTTCTAGGTTGTAATTTATGCGTCATTTTTTCTCTCTCTGTCGCCCTATTTGTCTGTTTCTCTCTCTCTCTCTCTCTCTCTCTCTCTCTCTCTCTCTCTCTCTCTCTCTCTCTCTCTCTCTCTCTCTCTCTCTCTCTCTCTCTCTCTCTCTCTCTCTCTCTCTCTCTCTCTCTCTCTCTCTGCAATTTGATGAATAGTAAACAAAAGGGCTATTATTTACAGCGTAAAAAACATTTGTCACAAGATCTCTTTAGTGTGAACATCGCCGTGCTGAACCGATTAATAATATCTTTCTGCATATCTGGTTAACCGTTTTTTTCTGTCATTCATTTTATATATATACTTTTTTATGCGAAATCTGAGACAGCCTACACACTGCCTCTGTTAGGCCTTGTAGTATTCTGATGCTTATGGACGTTCTTTTAATCTTTTCTTGATATGAAATGAAGCGAATCTTAAAGCTTTTGAATGAATCGCTGACGCTGGAATGTATATATTTTGTCTAATTTGCTGTTTTGTTTGGATCACATTACATTTTCTCTCTCTTCCACTTTCTCGTTGTCCCACTTTCTCTCTCTCTTTTGCTCTATCACTCTCTTTTCCTCTCTCTTTCTCCCTCTCTTTCACTTTTCTTTCATTTCTCTCTCTCTCCCCCCCCTCTCTCTCTTCCCTCTTACCCTCTCCTTTCCTCCTTTCTTTCTCTCTCCTTCCTCCTTCTCGTCTTCCTTTCCTCTGTCCCTCTTCCCCCTCTCCCCTTTTAAGAGCAATGGTCACATTAAGAAGATAAGGGAAGCACCTCCATCAGGTCATACAGATTAAACTAAAACCTTTTTTCTGCGCATTCTTTCTATGGCGCCACAGCAGTAAGTCAAGGACGCTGCGTATAATGTGCTGCCTTAGGACTTTGCGTTATTTGCGCTGCTCGTGTGATATCTGCGCTTTTGCAATGTCCATTATCTGCTTCTCTTTTGCTTTCTCTCTCTCTCTCACTCACTCTCTCTCTCTGTCTGTCTCTATCCCACTTTCTCGATCTATCTTTCTCAATCTCTCTTTCCCTCCTTCCCTCTTTCTCTCGCTTTCTCGCTCTCTCCCCCCACTCTTTCTCCCTGCCTCCCTTCCTTCTCTCGCTTTCTCGCTCTCTCCCCCCACTCTTTCTCCCTGCCTCCCTTCCTTCTCTCGCTTTCTCACTCTCTCTATCCCACATTCTCGTTCTTTCTTTTCTCACTTTCTCTTTCTCGCTTTCTCTCTCTCACTTTCCCTTTTCCTATCTCTTATTTCTCGTTTACTCTCCCTTTTCCTCGCCCTCTCCTTCTCTTCTTCCATCCATTCCTTCTCTTTTACTCTCTCTCTCTTACCAATTTTCTTATTCTAAGTATTTCTCTCGATTTTTCCCTCCCTCCCTCTCTGTGTATGTGTCCCTCCCTACCTCCCCCGACCCTCTCTCTCCCTCTCCCCTCTGTCTCTCCCTCTCGCCTCTCTCTATCTCTCCCTTTGTTCCCCTTCCTCTTTCTTCTTCTCGTTCACTTTTTATATTTTAAGAATATTTTCAAATAATCAGGGTAACAAAAGCTGTTCTTAAACCAACCGAATGCGCAAAGGAAAATATCTATGAATACCTTTGCTATAGTATCAACTGAAACCTTTGCAACAGAAACTATCGGTGCTCTCTCTCTCTCTCTCTCTCTCTCTCTCTCTCTCTCTCTCTCTCTCTCTCTCTCTCTCTCTCTCTCTCTCTCTCTCTCTCTCTCTCTCTCTCTCTCTCTCTCTCTCTCTTACTCTCTCCTTTCTTCATTTCTTTCTCTCCCCTTCCTCTTGTTTCATCTCCAAGAAAGTATGTCGTTCGCTAAACCTCCGGCCGCTCCTAGCAATTTCCTCGGACATCCACCATCATCGGAGTCGGTAATACTAGATACTTTGAGGGCTCCCAAAGAGTGTCAAGAAAAATACCTGTGTTTTGGTTTATCTAAAATCAAAGAATAGGGTCTATAACAATGATATATATTGATGGTAAACTGATATGATGATAATATAATATGATACAATAATGTATAATAATGACATACTAATCATTCCGTTTGTTACAATGGCTGCTATTCTTGGTGTGACAGGCTGTCGGTTTCATTTTGCCCCTAAAGTATCCCCTGCGTGCAAGGAATGGCCGGGGTTATCGCCCATTTACAGCGCGGGCTTTGAACGCGGGTCAGCAAGACCTCAGCATCAACCTCAGCACCAACCAGCACACGACCAGGGCCGACCCAGTGTGCCAAATAATACAAGGGTCTTGGAGCACTCCCTCAGAGCATGCGGGCAAGGACCTATACACATAGGCTGGCAAAATCAAACTCCATGGTGTATAGTGTGTCGATAAGGATCACCTTGGACTCGGTGGACCAGCAAATATTGGTTTCTGAGAGTCTTCCAAAGTTATATGATTGGCGATTTGAACTGGTCTCTATATATGCCGAGTGCCCAGGGGGAAGGGCCGTAAAACCGCTATTCTTACTTACGTATGTGTAGATACGTATATGTCTATGGATCGTAGGTATATATATATATAT